TACTTTTTATTGTGATCTGGGAGAAAGCTTACAGGACAAACTGGTTCTCCATCCAACCCCTCATGCACATGTTGTTTCCTGGCACTGATGGCAATCCTCACAATGAACGTTCATCCCAGTTCCTCCCTGTTTGCCATTCCCATTCGTCCTTCTCTCCCGTCCCTTCCTGCCTCCTGAGCTTTATCCCTGGACAAATGCTGCCCTTTTGATCGCAGATGGTGGATGGTTCTGCGGAGTGTGCCCTCCCATATCCCCATCCCCCAGTGTTGCTGTTCACCTTGTAGGCCTTTCTATTGTTGGGGTAAACTCACAGTGGTGAGTTCCATTTCAGGCGATAGCTCAGGGCCAGCATCTCAGAGGCTCCACCCATCTGTATCAGAGTGGTACGCCTAGTCCTTTTTTTTTTTAAAATGATTTTGAGTTTTGCTCCCTTCGTTTTCTCCAGCTCTATCCAGAACCATCTATTGAGATTCCTTTCAGAGCCAGGCACCATCTCTGGTTTCCGGGTGGTGGAAGCTGGGTCCAAGGGCTCCTTTCGGCCTTTGGACTAATTGCTTCCGTGCATCTTTGCTTTTCTTCACTCTTTGCTTCCGAGGAGGAGAGACCAACCGTTGCCCTTAGATGGCTGCCTATAAGCTCTAAGACACTCGGTTTTGCTCCAAAGTAGGATGTGGAACACCGTTTGTGTGGACTTTGTTATGCCAATTGTTGCTTATGTCCCGCTGATGGTCCTGAGTCCCAGGCACAGTGATTCCTTCCCTTTAGGTATGGGTTATGGCTAAGAAGTTGTCCTACAAAGCCCACATGGAAGATGCACACCAGGCTGTGTGATCACGAGTTGTCAACGAGAAGAGGTATCACAAGTCCAAAAAACACGCATCCAAATTGATAGGACGGGGACTGGATGTAGTGGAGACTCAACGTCCACCAGCAAGACAATTGGACATTCCCTCTTAGCAGGGCCTGACAGAATGGAAGATCGATCCAGGGTGCGGTGTGGCACTGATGAACCACATAACTATCCTCTGGTTCTTTAAGATTTCCTCCCCTCAAGGGAAAATCTAACATTGATCATGTTAGATTTGCGTACGTTCATTTGTACATTTAAGATTGCTTGCTACGTGGTAGTCAAGATAGATGGCCCCTCAGAAGGGTCAATGACAGGAGGAGGGGTTCCCTGAGGGCACGGGATGTGGGAGGCTGGGGTGGGGTGTGTGGAAGAAGGGGGAGAGAGGAGAATTGATAGCATTGATGACTGTATAGCTCCACCTGATGGGATTGAACAGCATAGCTATATGGGAAGGGAAAGGATATATTGGAATGAGTAAGATAGGTCAATAAAAATATTCAACGACGACAAAAAGAAGTTGTCCTAGCAGGGTGCACTTGGAACACGTCACTCAGAACGCTGCCCAAGGCCCCAGCTCAACAACTCTGCCGACAGAAGCCGTGCCTCATCTTTCAAACCCCACAAAGTTCTGGGGAAACACCATGGCCACGAACAAGCTAATGGAACACACTGGCTCCTGATCCCATGGGCTTCCAACAGCTCACCAGGAAAGCATGAGCCTACAGCACTGAACAGCTGAGCAACAGAGAGGCATG